TCCGCACACTTATGTTATCATCTTGAGTGATATATAGCAACATTTTCATTATACCGTGTCAATATAGACATTAACAATTAGTATATTTTAAATAATATAAAGTTTAATATTGATTTTTAATTCAACTTTGCCTTTCCCCTTCAACTGATTGGACGTAAATGTTCGGCTTCTTGTGTGGATGCTTCGATGATGATTAGTTTCAAGTAATTTTGGAGAATTGTAACTAGCGTTGGAATGCGCGTTTCGTTCTATTTGGGACTCATCATCAGGTGGGGATGTACCTGCATCCACCTAGTGATTGATTGATGGATAGTGTTCCCACTAAGCCTCAATGGGGCGGCACAAGCACATCCAGTTGATGGGTCCCAAATAGGACGAGATGCGTATCTTTGATTCCATTACTAGTCAACGTCCGACAATAATAGTTTAATGTTGTTACTGGACCTAATTTAGGTATATTTCATGTAAATTTTTCCCATAATTATTTCTGACTAAATTTGATTTTATGCTTCATACACTCTATGATATTTATTACTGTCTTATCTACCCAATAGATACTATGCTTTAGTCTGAGCAAGTTCATTATCAATTGGTCACAGTGAAACTCTAGTTTTTCTATCCATTCCCAAACTGTTTATTATTATTACTCCCTTCGGTTCCAAGGGGAATATAGGGCTTCAACAACACATCTCCAATTTCTTCTATTGTCTCCTATCATCTTCACCTGGGTCCACGATGGACCAGAATCTCTCATCTCCTACACCCCACACGATTTCCTCCATGTGCCCCTCACACTGACGACTTCACGCGAGCTATGACCTGGATTGCGCGCGATGTCATTCAATTGTCTCCTCAGAGGTGTGTATGCCCGACCAATCCGTCTCCATTTCCTCCTACATAGCCTTTGTTGAGCAATCGGCTCTCGCCTGTTGGTTGGTTTGTTCCTAGCCAGATCTCGCCGGCCATTTGATCTTCAGTATGTGGCCAGCCAGTCAGCCAGTGAACGTGGAAGCTGCTGATAAAAGTCTGCACCAGCTTGTTGTAAATCCTTTTCGTGATGCGAGCGCAGTGCAAGTCTCTGTTCCTTATAGAAGAGCTGACTGACTGACTCCCCTGATATTTGTGTTGAATAGAATCCGAATCTTGTTGTTTATGCTTGCTGGCTGAGTTAGTGCAGAAGATTTCCCAACTGGTTTCAGGTTGATGAAGGCGTATCTTTGCCTTTCCGATTCTGACCGGCTGGCTGACTGGCCTTGACATCTTCATCCGTGCTGTCCGACTGCCTGTTGTTGAAACCATGCTTCCTAGATAAGTACCGAAACTGTTGGTTAAATAAGGGTGTTGTTGAAACTGTCAACAGTTCTATATTGGATCACTAGTGAAGAGTCTTTCAGTATCAATATCGGGTATCGAATAAATTACTAAAAGTCTCTAGATACCGAACACTCCAAACAGCACATAGGCCATTGCGATCCGCCTAAATCAATCGGAGCTCTCTGTGCAAAAGAAACAGGTCCAATCAACCACCACTGCTACCCTAATCTACTGTCCAAACTATAAATTCATAAATTCCCTCTTACTTCGCTTCATTTATCCGAAATTCAATCAGTTTAGTGTTATGCATGCATTAATGCATGTCATCTCTCCCTTACTGAGGCTGTCGGAATATTATCTGTCGATACTAATTACTGATCCGATGTAATTTAAAACAATATTAATGTTAGTAAGACTATCTCTTTAGTTATCACGGTTATATAAGTGTAGAACTTGATGAAGACGACATCGTCGAAAGGAATATTCTTTGTTCATTAATGAGTTTTTTGGATTTTTATTTGAGCATATACAAGGCTGATGGTGAGACTGTCCACAGTCTTGGGTCGGCAGACTGTGAGAGTGGTATATCAACTAGTGATTGGAAAGTTGAGGAGTGAGGCTGATAGATGTTGTGAGGTGTGTTCTCGCATACACAGTATATATAGCAAACATCACAGTAGATATATTCCAGCTGCTTAGAAAAGTCGATAAAACGCTTATAAAACAACAACCAGATGTAGTAGGTTGATGTGATGATTACAACATTTCATCTAAGCACATAATACACGATCACATAACACACGAACTACTATTTGAGGGAATTCAAACCGTAATTGACGACTGCCTTCGTTCTATCCATTCAATCAAGTAAGGCTGGAACAGAAGCGTGGCAAATATGTCTTGCCATAACTTCTTTATTTTCTTTATTCCTTCACGTTCCCAGTGGAACAAAGGGCTTCAAGCTAGAGGCTTGAAGTTTCTGTCGCAGTGTTTAATTTTACAGGATGGGGTTGCCAGCCCAACCTTTCCTCTTTACCAGTTTTATTACTGGCTCAGTCAGGTAAAGGAGTACGTCGGCTGGGGTCGAACCCCGGACCATGTGCATGGTTGGCGAGCGTCCTAACCGCTGTGCCACCGACGCACCGTAACTAACTAATATATATACTCACTCCAATGTTCTTCATAAAAACATTTCATTATAAATGATACTTTCAACTGTCCCTGTTAGGTACTTAGAGTCAATATTTAAAATACGATGCAAATAAACTCATCACATGAACTTTAGAATAGTTGTGGATAATTAACAACCCTTCTGCATCAATTCCTAATTTGACGACGTTAAAGTATCATAGACAAAATCACACTGACCTTGAATAACCAATCAGAATTCAAGTGCAAAAAATCCTGTTAATCGTTAAAGAAACGTGATATTGAACTGGATAATTGTCTCTTATGTGTTGTAAGTATATCTCCCAGTAAATTCAAGGGTGATAATTTATAGAAGAGTCATACCATACGCAACCGATGTATTCATCCAGATGACTGTAATAGATCTCTTGGTACTATGGGATCTATTGATATTCCTGACTCTGTCTTTTAACCTATCCTTAACACCTAACAAAAAGAGGACCTGGAGAGTAAGCAGAATACGGTACCTACCTTCATGAAGTGATTTTCTGTTAGGTGTAACAGCAGAAGGCAAGACACGGAAGTCAGGGTATATTTTCAAGTGATCAAAAAGCTATTTATAAATATCTATACAGTTTATATTCGTTAACCAATCACTGAGCGTGTGATTTTGGTTTACATCACACAACATCAAATAGAATGTTCCAATACATATATGGTATTCTGTTGCTAATGCACTATTGAACTGTGGGAATAGTATTCAGACGTTAACACCCACAAATTTAATGATTCCCACTGTGAGAATGATATTCCGTTGAAACCAATTGTCTGTATCACACCACCACAATAGCGTGAATTGCATCTCCCTAAAGCTTATACTGTCCTATTGTATGGTCTGACTCACCATGCACAACAGTTAAATACTCGATCTTTGTGGAACTCATTCATCAAGTACGTTAAGGCAGGTATAATTTCGATTTGGAATGAATGGCTTTCCACATCCTCTTGTAAATCTGATTGGTTCCCCAAGGTCGACATTTGCCATACCTTGACTTTAGCTATGATACTTTACTTTCGCTATGCATTTAGATGCAACCACTGTTACATGAGGAAGTCTGTGGGAGTTGGTAAGTCGTACACATTGTGGTGATTTTTCAGAAACTTTCTTCTCCAAATCAAAAGTATCCCTTAGTAAAATATTGGGTATATGCCACAACTGGCTACTAAAGCGACCAGTAATCTGCTAAAACTGCAGAAACGGAGAATACAAAGATTTCCGCAGTACAGTGATATCAGTACTGCTGTGATATTGCGTCACAAAAGCTAAATGGGATCACCTCTGTAATTGGGGGAGTTGGCGTCGTTGTGCATATTGACGAAACTGTACTTATTAAGCAAAAAATGAATCGTGGCAGGAGTAGAGCAAATCATGTTTGGTTGCTGGGACTTTACGACATAAATCTTTGTTAATGGTTTGTAGAACGCAACCCGAACAGAAGTGCTGATGTCTTAATACCAATTATACAACGACTAGTCCTCCCAGGAACTTCCATTCACACAGACGAATGGAGAGGTTATTCTCAATTATCATCACTAGACTATATTCACCACAAAGTCAACCATTCTTCTGAATTGGTGGATCCTGTAACAGGAGCACATACAAATTCCATTGAAGGATTTTGGGCTCACCTCAAAAAACGTATCAGAATGGTAAACGGTTCCCGAAGTGATATGGTATATAGCAATTTAGATGAGTTTTTGTATCGGCACTGGTTTAATATGCCTATAACCACTCCTATGAGAAACTGAGACCGGTTTTTGCAGCATATTAGAGACATTTATCCTACATAATGCATGTTTATTACATATATTGCTTATAAATAGACGTTTTTTATTAATTTTATGCTACTTTTAACTGAAAGAATCTGATTGGTTATTTCAAGGCCGCCTGTAGTTGGTGTTTATTTTTTATTGTTGCCCTTATTTGTTGTAAGTATGTCTCCCAGTAACTTCAAAGGTAATAGTCCATAGAAAAATCACACCATACGCAACCGATGTATTCATCCAGATGACTGTAGTAGATTTTGGTACTTTGGGATCTATTGATACTCCTGGCTCTGTCCAGGAATATACCCTAAACCTCAACACAAAAAGTACCTGGAGAATAAGTAGGATACTGTACCTACCTTCACGAAGCAATCTTCTGTTATAGTGTGTGCTAGTTGTATTGCCCTATTGTCGTAGTGTGCCCCACCATACACACTGGCTTTTGCGAATTCAATGGATCCCTTTTTGACACAGCAGTTATACACTCGACCTTCATGGAACTCATTCATCAAGTATGCAAAGGCAGGCACGATTTCGATTTGAAATGACCTTCTTTCAAAGCGTCCTGTAAATCTGATTGGTCCCTCAAGGTCGACTTTTGACAGACCTTGATTTTGCCTGTTATACTTTAATTTCGCTGCTAATTTTATTGACCTACAGTATGCCTTAAACATTTTTTTTGTTAATTTCTGAAATAATTTATTGCCCATCTATTTTTCTATTTATTTTAGCCTCGTCACCACCGAAAGTTAGAGAAAGCTGATATTCTAGAATTAGTTGTATCATTTCTAAAAAAAGAATTAAATCAAACTCGTGGGAAAATGTCATCAGTCAATCCGCCGACGACTAGTATTTCACAACAGACCAACACCCCACCAGCAATCCTATTAAAAGAAACAAAATATCCGGCTCAAATTGAATCCTGTACACCACTGATCTATCCACAGAGTAGTTCACTGAATCATTCAGAATTATTTCCATTATTGAATCAACCGAATAATTATCATTTCGTTAAAAATAATAATACTAATAATCATAATCATAATGTTGCATCGAAAACATCTTATCCGTTTAACGATTCTTCTATTCAACAGTATCCACATTTGTATACCTCGATGTATCCGTATCCGTATAACTTACCTTGTTGTAGGGGGGAACCATGTCAATCTTTAGCAGCTTCGCATTATTCAACTCCATTAACCTATCACCCAGTTATGCTAATTTCACCTACTGAAGACTTTGATGATATCAACAAAGAAAATCGAGTAACAATGAACAAAAATCATAATTATTTCAAGAATACAAATTATACTCCATCTTGTTATAGTAGTAACGATACACTTGATCGATGTTCAATAATACGTCAACCAATGAACACATTGAACAACAACAACAACAATAATAACAATAATGATTATTATTATCATGCTAATAATCAAGCCTATTCATCACAAGTTCAATTAAATCAACAATCCCCAGAGTTAATGATGATGACGATGACAAAATTATATCCTGATATTTTAAACAATCATTTACCTGAAGAACAACAAATAACAATACAAGGTGAAAATTGTTACAAGTGTTGTTATCTATCGTCTACACTGAATGTTGACGGCCAGTCTTCTCAAAATTTTATTCGAAATGCGGAAAATCATAATTATAATTGTAATAATCCAGTGGTAACGCTGAACCATCGTAGAATGCATTCATCAGCGTCAACATCATCATCAGCATCAAGCAGTGGTGAATCAACAAATCACTTAACAACACTATGGAGACCATATGTTTGATATGATTTGTGATTTTTAATAAGTCATGCATTTTTGTATATTTTTTCCTAATTTTTCACGAGAGTTGAAGAGAGAAAGAGAGACAGTCCTCATTCCAACATATATTATCAATACAAAAAAACTATGTCATTTCTGGTATTTTATACAGTCTACTAATAAACTATTTTAGTAGTATAAACAAGTTTTGTGAATTTGTTGGTTGTTTTTCAAAAAACCGTTGGCTGACAAGAGGGGCGGGGGGGCGTGCTTGAAACAGAGAGAGAAGAATTAGTGTTGCATGGCCACACAGCCTTAGGGGCTGTATCCACAAGGTCTTACCGCCGGCTACGAACTGACATAAAGTAATCTGGAGCATGCAATTTTCAGAATCGACAGTTTCTATATGCAGTTTTTCATGAAAGAGGGTAGTAACACACAAAACTGATAAGTTGTCATAATTGTATTTGTCAGTATTAGTCAGTGCATGAGAGGAGTTAAGTGTATTCGAGTTACGTAATAAGATGAATACTTTAATGAATTAGTTATAATCAGGATGCACATAAAAAAAAAAAGAAAATATGGAATTATTTGAGATTTCTGAATAAATACAAGAGTTATAAGTAGGTAGAGAAACAAACGGACAAAAATTAAGTTGGCAGGAATCAACAAGGTTATTACCATGATAGTAAGAGTGGTTGAATAGCTTTTTTTGCATGCAGAGCTGAATGGCTAGAGTTACGGCGATGCAGGGAGGAGACGAAAGCATATTGCTTTTGGTAGACTTCTTCACTTTATAAATTACTTTAAAGGAAGCGTTTTTTGAGGTGGATCGACCAGTGTTGACGAGGTGTTCGATTATCGTACACCTTTTAGAGCCACAACTACATTTCTACAGGATACGCGTTGAACGGTCAATAAACCTAGCTGCACAAGAACAGGTGAACTGTAGTGGCTGTATTAGGAGTTCGATAATTAAACACCTTGTCAACATAGTCATTCCATCTTAACAAATGCCTCCTTCAAAGTAATCTACAACAAAGTGAAGAACAACCTGCCAAAGGCAATATGCTTCCGTCTCCTATGAGCATCGCTGAAGTTACTGACATTCAGATAGAGAAATCCGAGTTATGCATACAAAAGGAAATTATCCAATCACTTCCGTGATCATGGTAACAGCCGCGTTTTTTTTGCACTAACGTGATTTTATTTATCATAAGATGGAGAAAATAAACTATCCAGCTCAGAGAGAACACAACTACATCAAAAAGTGATTTTTTTGTTATGAGGCAGTAACTCATCGAAGAAGACATTGCGAAATGTTCGCACTATGTCGTGAATTGGCAGAAGTTAGAATTCAAGGACCACTGGATCAATGGTCTACGAGCTCGCTAGCCTTATAACCAGTAGGTCCTGGGTTCGAATCCCAGTGGGTGCGTACTGATGAAGAGTTTGAAACTAGGACGAAACAGTTGTCCAGTACTCCCAGGTTTTCCAGTGGTTCTCAAACTGATGCCAGCTCATGATGAAATCCTCTATGCAATCAAACAAAATCCCTACAAAACCAATACTTGAAAAATTACAACTATTGTATTTCTTTAGAACTCATATAATTTCACATTTCCGTTTCTACGGGCTTCCTGATTATAACTCATTCATCGAATTATTCATCGTATCCCATAACTCTAATACACTTAACTGCTTTTATGCATTGACAACTATATTTGTGAAAACTCATCACTTTTGTTACTACCCTCTTTCATGAGAAGAATTGTATACATAATGGCGAATGTGGAGAGCTAAAGAAAATGAATTCGTTGCCGAAAGCAGCCTCTTCACTGAACTGCCTGTTTTGTTCTCATTAATGTCTGGATAGGGATTGCTCAAGAATCTGAGGGAAACACCGTAGTGCATTTACACATCTACTTGCCAACAGTACAACTTCAGCCTTACGCTACCCACCCCACCCCCCTAACATAGTGCAAACGACTTAAACTATGTTATGGTAACTTCCCTTAATCCAAATGACTTTTCAGGCATAGAACTACACTTCCTGTAGTTCTTTCTATCCAGTGTAGCTTTTTGGATCATTGCAATATGCAAGCTGAACCACCACGTCAAGGTTACAGCTGTCAGTCAGGAGATAAGAATTTCGATCTACTGAGTGGACAAACGGATGCGTTTTCTGTTTAGTCTTGATGATTTTTGGAACTACTGGAGATTCCGTATTTATTATTATATTAGTTTGCTTTTATATCAGAACCTAATATTGTATAATGGGGGTATGTAGGATAAAAATGTGGCTTGCAAATATACAGTTGGTATTAAAAATAAGCTGTAGAACCGTGAAAGATTTAAACTGGTATTCAATAGCTGCTAAATGCTATTAATCAACAATAAGTCTTTGAGTCGTTTGTAAACTGAATATGCATCCATATGATCATCGTCTAAAAAGCAACAAGATACATTTGAGATAAACATAATAATGAGACGAAATAGACGGGGAAATTTCAACGCCGAGAGAGATTCAGGGATATCTTTCTTACGCCTAAAGACGTTCAAAAGTATAGACCATGAACTTAAAATATGGAGTACTAACCTTTTTTGAAAATCGTGATTTGACTACTCCTGTTTATTTAATGGTATTATATCTAATTAATACTCCCTTTGGTGCCGAGTGGAACATAGGGCTCCACTTTTTCTACTTTCTGCTGTCCTCTTCAGCTGGGTCCACGATTGCCCATATTCTCTCATCTACTCATCCTCACCGAAACAATCTCCCCCATGTCACCCTCATATTGACGACCTACTCGTCGCAACCCATTGGAACTCCACTCGAGTGATGGCCTGCACTGAACGTTATGTCATTCGATGGTCTCTTCAACGTATACCCCATCAATCCGTTTCCACTTTCTCCTACATATTTTTTCAGTGATCGGCTCTTGGTTGGTTTGTTCCCAGCCAGAATTTCTTTTTACTCATAATTGCTAATATATATTGAAGAAACTATACCTCAGCCATCGTAGAGAACGATCGAATTGTTGAATATGTATATCGGCCAGTAGGGCGACCAGTATAAACTATACGAAACTGCTCAGAAACCAGCTAAATTACTTGGCTGATTGACTGTAAAGGATTAGGTTGAATAATCAGCTTAAAATTTAGCGTTAGATGATAACTAGCATTAGAATCCAGGATGAGCAGTGGATGCAACGCTTTGGCATTTGAAGCGATGGGTGTCGGGTTCGAGTGTCAGTGGGAACAACGCACTCATTGAGGACTGCAAGTAAACCTATAGTTTCATCATTAGCTGACATTGGTTAGAGAACCATTGGAAAACCTGGGAGTACTGGACAGCTGTTTCGTCAGCCTAGTTTGGGACTCTTCCACAGTACGCTGAAGACATTGACTAGCGGTCATGCTATGTCGTGAATTGGCAGAAGTTAGAATTCATGTGCTGGCCATTAGATCAAGTCCCAGTGGCTTAACGGTCTACGAGCTCACTAGCCTTATAACCAGAAGGTCCTAGGTTGGAACCCCGGTGGGTGCGTACTGTGGAAGAGTCCCAAACTAGGTGGACGAAACAGCTGTCCAGTACTCCAGTGCTGGTTTTCCAATGGTTTTCTAACCAATGTCAGCTCATGATGAAATCCTGTAACCAATCAAACAAATCCCTACAAACCAATACTTGAAAATCTATAATTGATGAGTTTCAAATAGGACGAAATGTTAATCCTGGCTTAATTGCACTGCTAGTCGCCATCCACCAAATAAAACCATGTTATTCTTCAAAGGCAAATCATGTTCTGACCAAATTGCAACTCTACGCATTATCATCGAACAAAGCATGGAATGGCAATCAAATCTCTACCTCAACTTCATAGACTTTGAGAAGGCCTTCGACAGCGTTGACCGCGAAGTAATTTGGAAACTACTCGAGTACTACGGCGTACCCCAAATATTCATCAACCTTATTCAACAACTGTACGACAACGGCACATGTCAAGTGATCCACAACGGAAAACTCAGCGAAGTGTTTGGAGTAAACACAGGAGTCAGACAAGGGTGCTTATTATCACCAATGATATTCCTAATTGTGGTGGACTGGATTATGCGTCAGACAGTGGGAAACCAGAAGACAGGGATATCCTGGACCGACGTGAAGGACCTAGAAGACCTGGATTTTGCGGATGATTTATGTTTGATGTCACACAAAATCGAAGACTTACAAGCAAAAACCGACAAACTGGTCGAAGAAGCAGCAAAGACAGGACTCCAGGTGAACATAGACGAGACGGAGGTTATGAAAATAACCAACCAACAACAACAGCAGCAGCAACATCCAGCGCCAATCACCATCAACGGGAGGGATTTGAAAGAGGTTACTTCTTTCACTTATCTGGGGAGCATTGTCTCAACTACAGGAGGAACGGACGAGGATGTCAAATCGAGAATCGGGAAAGCGAGAAACACATTCATCAACCTGAAACCAATCTGGAAATCTTCGTCACTCAGCCTGCATCAACAACAAAATTCGGATTTTCAATACAAACGTCAAGTCAATTTTGCTTTACGGATCAGAAACTTGGCGGGTCACCAAGAATATTTTCAACAGGTTGCAGACCTTTATCAACAACTGTCTTCGCTCCATACTGAAGATTAGATGGCCAGAAAGAATCACAAACAAGAAGCTATGGGAACAAACGAAACAGAAACCAATCGCCCAACAAATATGCAGGAGGAAGTGGAGATGGATTGGACACTCGCTGAGGAGGCCGTTGAGTGACATCGCGCGTCAAGCCCTCGAGTGGAACCCGAAAGGGAAGCGGCGAGTGGGACGTCCAAGGGTGACATGGAGGAGATCGTGTGAGGAGGAGATGAAACAGTATGGATTAACATGGACGCAAGTGAAAAGAACAGCAGAAGACAGAAGCAAGTGGAGACGTGCAGTTGAAGCCCTATGTTCCACTAGGAACCCAAGGGAACAATAATAATATAATAATAATTCTTCAAAGGTCGTTGAAGCGTCCTTACTAGGAAACGATATATCAAGCAAGATCGAACCTATAATGATAATGATAGCTTTATTCCAAACAGTGCTTTCAACACAATGTGGAGTTTTCAGTATATAATCCAATACTGCATCTAATTTCTTCTTTACATTACATAGTGTA